CTCTGCCCCGATGAAGTTGAGTCCCCTGTCACTGGTCAGGGTCGCACAGCTACCCCGTCCTGAAGTGAAGCGTTTATACGCAGCGATGAAGCCCTCCGCTGTCAGATCCGTTACCATTTTCAGATGGGATGCTGATGTGGCGCAGCAGACAAACAGACAGATGTACGCCTTGTACATTGTTTTGTTTGCTCCCGATCCTCTCCATCTCAGGACGTGGAGCCGTTGGATATTGGGCCGGTGAAGTCCACTCCTGAGTGGAGGAAGACCTTTGATGGTGTCACTCGTCGCGCAGGCAGCCATTCCATCAGCTGTTGAGCTCTCAGTACTCGATGACATGCACAAATAATGCACTTTATGATGTGCGAGCCTACTGGAGCTCTTCGTCCGACGATCCAGTACCTCTGCCGTATGTATGCCAAGGTGAGTTGAGTTCCTCCATGGAAACTTCGTTGATAAGCGTCTGCGATGATGAGCGATGATAGCGGCGAATGGCGTGAGAGAATAATTGGATTTCCCTCCTCCGGATCTAATGTTGAATTTTGTAGACGTCCGCTCAAGCGCATGACGTCGTTCTCAAGATATGGCGTCCGCATCGCCATTCGATGATTTGCTGCCAGTGAGTTTCCAGTTCTTAGAATGTTGATTTCCGCCTCGAAGTAGAGATTTTAAGTATACTTCACCCAGTACAGTCTTGCCTCTTCGAGCTCGTGTGGTCCTAGTTGGGGACAATCCGGTAGCGGTTGCTGTTGAAGGCGTCTTACGGCTCGATTGATCCAGGCTATGACCCGTACAAGCTTATTCAACGATAAGTGTCTGATGAGCAGCGCGTCCGCCTCACCGATTCGCACTGGATGCGAGCTGATGATGGGCGGTCTCGCCTCTTGAGCCGCCTCTGATGATATCTCCGCTGTCGATGATAGATCCATTGATGATGCTAGCCACTGATCCGGTGGCAGGTTAAGCCAAGGTGCTCCTGTCCACCATAGTTGATGCTCCGCCAGTTGTTTCGGTGATAGACCCCTTGATGCGCAGCCCGCTGGATTCTCCTTGCCGTTGATCTGTCTCCAAGTGTTAGAGGGCAGAGTGTCTCGTATCTTGAGAACCCTGTTCTGCACGATGTCCTTCCAACGGGATGGATCTCCGTTAATTCATGTGATGGCCACTGATGAATCGCTTCAAAGATTGATTTGTATGTCTTCCAACTCCGGAGTTCGTTGTGCGTAGCCCACAATATCCGTTGCCAGGGGAGCTGCTGTTAGCTCCAGCCGTGGTATGGTCATCTTCTTGAGTAATAAAAGGGCATTGTTGGCGAATTTCCCACGCACCCTCCCCCCTTTTTCCGGGAAGTGCACGTGCACGTCCCCCCTCCCCCCTCGGCGGCATGCCTTTGAAGAGACCGTCGGCGCGCTGCGGGCCCCCTGGGGTGCAGGGCCTCAAAGTTGGGGTCCGAGGGTCACAGGAAGTGGGTGGTGGGTGGAAAATGGCCGCCAGATAGACAATGAGTGGCGGGTGGAAAGTGGGTTGTAAGTGGGGGGAAAAGGGGTGGCGGGTGGAAAGTGGGTGGAAAAGGGCTGGCGGGTAAATTGAAAAACTGTCGGACAGTATATATCGGACGGGTGTCGGGAGTCGGGCCCCTCTGCTGGTGGTCCAACTGCGGAGGACGGCGTCGGCAAGGGTCCGGATGTCGCTGTCCAGGACATTGGAGCCATTGTCCTTGAGACTCCGGAGAGTCATTACGCTTTTGAATTTTTTTTTTAAAGGGATAACAAAGGATTGCAACCATGAATGACGCAAAGAGTGAACAATACGTTCTCTCTCTCTCTCTTTTATTTTGAGGACGGTGAATTTTTCGAGCTGATATGGAGCCAAATATATTTTTCTAGAAACTTCTACGTAGCTGAAAAAATTCAAGGTTTTTCGTAAATGAATAATACAAGGTTTTCAAATTACTTTTTCTTTAATTCATGTAAAATGATGAAATACATTTTTAGGCTTACAAATGATATTTTTTTCGTTCCAATTTAAAATTATTTACAATCACAAGAGATTATTATTATCATATAGTCTTTAGTATGTGGGCATTCGGTAAGCCCCTCCCGCAAAACCATCCAACTCATCGAAGCAAAAATGAAACATTTCACCAAATAATTGATACAAATATCCCTCGTTCTGCTGAGGTATTGTACGACGGAGGTCATCCCTGGCCAGAAGGTAAATCTCCTCGGAATTGCTGCGTATGCAATAGTGGAGTTCTTCAGTAGCTGGCATCCTGTTGTATTCCATATAATGCATGGCAACACTTGTGATCGCCCGCACCAGAGACTCCTTGTATTGTTTGAGAGGCAATGAGTCCAAAAATTTTAACCACTGATCGATCCATGCCGCTTTGTTTTTTAATGTTGTAATGCTCGGGCTCATCATAATGAGGGGTTGCCTTACATCAGCACGTACAAAAGCAACGCAGGGGTTATCGTAGCTGCGATGGAATCTCACTTTGACATCCCCAAATTGCTTAGCAGGTACATTGTGGACGGCTTTTGGGTGAAACTTCTCAGGATCAAAGTAGTCCGTAATGGCATCCAGATCTTTGTACAGAAGGCCCCATTCTTCCCGTGACATTGACAGCACGACACGGTTGGGGCGTACGGCCATAAACTGCACCACAGGAACAAATTGGCCGAGACAGGTAACTTGCAAACCAACACGAATTTGTTTCGTCTCCGACTTATTAAGAGGTATAACTTGCGACAGCACCACTTGCTGTTCGGCACCACTGCACTCTTTTTCGTTGATATTTTTCATGTTAAAAACTGATGAGCGAAATCGGATCGACTGGATGAAATACACCGCGAGCAGCCGCGTTTTATAGCGTTAGGTATGAGAGTGGGGCGCGCTTAATTNGAAATCGGATCGACTGGATGAAATACACCGCGAGCAGCCGCGTTTTATAGCGTTAGGTATGAGAGTGGGGCGCGCTTAATTCCCCCCACCATACACAGAACAGGCCTATGCGCACAACACACTACCCCCACCGTAGGGAGTGCTGCGGCGTCGGCGTCACACATGACCCCCCACTACCATGGATTTCATATGATGTATATTACCCCCCACCTCTATCATGGTACCCGCACTCCTATGATATTGCCCCGACCGCTGTGAATTTTTTTTTAACTCGAGTGACTTGGATTTATTTTTTGTCAGTCATTCGTGAAAATATATTTAGGACAGTAAAAATGAATACAATTTGGAGAGATCACGACGTCGAACTGTTCGATAAATATTTCGCAGGTCGGTCACCAAGTGAGAATTACAGGGAAAAACGAAAGCCTAGATTTCGTCAGAAACGCATACGTGTATATGTTGATAAATACACGGAGGATGAAAAGTACATACCGCCGAAAAAAAGAAATGATCGTGGCGAAAAAAGAAAAATAAAGAGAAAGAGAATAAACAATTCGAGATATGTAAACTGCGAGATCTTTGGAAGACATACTCCCAACTTCATATTCTTCAGGATAGTCTTCAGTTACGAGTTTCCACCGTTTTTCGTACAGTGCTGTGATTTTTCATTTCGACAAAAAGAACAAAAGTGTGAAAATGTTTGGGTCAGTCATCACTGAAATGGAGAGAATCCACGGGATGGTAAGTTTTTATTTATATTTTGAGCGATATTTTTTGTGAAAATTCTTGTTCGGTTTTTTCTATAAAAAAAAAATGTTCACATAGTTTTCTCGTTCATAATTTTCTGGGTAATTTTCTATTTATAAATGTTTGTATTTTTTTTCGTTTCTTAAACGGGTCTTATGGAGTTTACATGTATTTTCCATTCGGTTTTCGTCTCGTTTTTCTTCATTTTTGAATTTTTCTATTCCGGTTTTCGTCCAATTTTTCACTGTCGAAATAGTTTTTGAAAGAAATTTTTTGTGAAAGAAATTTTTGCTGGCGTTTTCTCTCGTTGAAATTTTCCGTGTTAGATTTTTTCGTTTACGAATTTTTCTATTCCGCTGTCGTCCAATTTTTCAGCGTCAAATTTTGAGTTGAATTTTTTTCAAAATGCGTGCATTTTTTTGGTTTTTAAACGTCTCTTATTGAGTTTGCGTGTATTTTCAATTCGGGCTTCATCTCGTTTTTTTTTTTCGATTTAGAATTTTTGTATTCTGGTTTTCCTCCAATTTTTCAGTGTCAAAATTTTGTGTGAAAGAAATTTTTTATGACCGAAATTTTTGCTCGCTTTCTCTCCTGCAGAAATTTTCCGTGCTGGATTGTTTTCATGGAAAACTTATTCGTCGCATTTTCCGTAGATTTTTTGTCAACCAAATCACAATTCACTCGTTTTTTTAATTTTCAGATGCATGCGACCAGCTCTGTAGAATCTCCCATCGAGGGTTTATAAGACCTCCACAATCTCTTTGGTGGGCTCCCGTCATCTCAACCGCAGTACGGACAACTGGGACCTCGAGGAGTGGGAGTAAGACCCCCGAAGAAGAAAATTAGAAAAAAACGAAAAAAAAATGTAATTCTAGTTTTTAAGAAAAAAAGATGTATTTGTAGTTTTAAGTTTTATTTTTAAGTTTTAGATTTGAAAAAATGTATTTTTTAGAATTAAAGTTTTGAATAAAAAAAAATAAATATATATCCTTCTTTTTCTTTATTTAAAAAACTAAATACCTTGAAAAATTTCCTTCCTTGTAGCATAAGGATTTAAAAAAATAAAAAAAAGATCACATTTCATCTTTTATTTTGAAAAGAAAAATTTACATTTACAAAAAGCTTACTTTTAAAAACTTACATGTAGCTTATATCTACGAAAAAACTTACTTCTACAAAAAATTACTCTAATCCATAATCTAATCTCTATACACTAGCTTAAAAAGTCGAAAGTATCTTTCATTCGTTTTTGTTTTTCAATCGTCGGGTTCAAGTGCGCGTCGTTTTGTCTTATATCCGTAGGGGAGGGTTGCAGCGCCATTATCAAGCCTTCATTTCGGGCCCGTCGCGCGGATAATCTTGCTCTCGGGTTTCGTGATGACGTCATGGTACATTGTCCGTCGTATACCCTTGTAGTTGATCTGGTAAGGCTCTACCTTATCGACAACGAGGGCACGAATCGAGTCGTAATGAATCTGTTTACGCGTGTCATAATTTAGCCTAACGCCTTTTATTTTACTAATTTCTGCAATGTTTCCATCCGGTTTTTTCACGCGATAAGTATAAAATTTTGGACCGCCAGAGACAAAAGACGTAATGAAACTCGCTTCTCCGTAGCCCTCTACTTCGTAGGTCAAGTCACCCAGAAAATTCCCCAGTGGTAACTCGTTAGTTCCATCGCTCACGTAAATAACCGAGTCTGTATCATAATATAAAACGCGTTCTTGCTGTTTTTCTAAATAAGAATATAATTTGAGACGTGCGTGAGCTGTTGTATAAGCCGCAATAACAACGTTGGCTTTGGTAGACAGTTCCGCAGCTTCGTTTAAATGTTTCCAGGACATGAAGAGAGTCTCGTTATCGACAGGGACAAGCCCTGTCACTTCGATTTCAGGATTGAACATTATGTTAGCAAACTCCTCATATGTTCGAATAATTGCCTTTTTCGTTAAATTTTCTCTTTCCCCAAATTTACCCCAGAGACAGTTTAAACAAAGTTTTGCTACTGCTCTCAATCCAGCATTTTTTAAAATTTTATCCTTGTCGAGTTTTATTCCCTCTCTCGCCTCATATTCGGCTATATATCTATCCTTGGATTCATCATCTATGCATTCTGCCGGCCAATCGGAAGCCTCTTGTTTGATTTTTAAAAAAGTGTTTATATACTCAGCAAATAAACCTCCTGTTCGTGTCATAGGATCATAACGTGTTGTTCTTTTATACTCCCAAATTTCACTAATTTCCAAAATTTTATACCCGACCTCTACGGCTTTACGGAGCTCTGGGGCGACCCAAGTCCCCAAAAACTCGCGGTCAGTGGGGTCATCATGAGGGCAATTGTCTTGCACTAAACCTTCGCAGCATGACCGACAGAGAGGAAACAGTAGCTTACCGTGTGCTTTGACAGGTAAAACTGGGTGAAATAATCGTCGCGGGGGTAAAATGCAGCATTTCACAAGTCCCTCTATCCGCAAAATATCATTATTAGGACATATGAGCTGACAAACGTTCCCTACATGTACAGTGGGGTGACCGATAGGAAAAATCTCCGTCTTTAAAACATATGGATATAACGAACAAACGTCGACATATCGAATTTTTTCATTCTCTTTAACATCATAGTGTGTTACGG